CTCAAACCGCATAGATGTAAGAGCTGAGCCTTCCGTTCTGAGTGGAATCGGACCTTCCCAACAATGCCAACTTGACGAGGGGCCATCTCTTTTGGCGTACCGGCAGAGCTGAAGGCGTGCTTGACTCAGACAGGTCTAAATGAAAGCCCCAACACCGTTCGGCGCTAATTGACGTAATCCTAAGGGCGTCTTCCACAGACATCAGCTGCGAGCACTGGATGTGATCGCCAGGATACCAACCTGTCCAGCATCTCGGTTTCCGCAAGCCCCAAATTAATTCTCACATAGGTCTTCGCTGCGCAGCATCGGCTGACTTGAATAATTCTATTGACCCAAATGTGGGATTCGAGCCCACGTCAGCAGGAAGGGCATTTAGTACAGCCAAAACTCAACCAGTTGAGCTACGAAGGCACGCCGAAAGCCTTGAATTTAATCGCACTCTACCCGTCCAGCCTTCTGCACGTACGGAATCCACCAATACTGTTACGAACAGGATTCCCCCGCACCCGGGCCGCAGAAACCTTCACAACTGAGGCAAGTAAGTTATTCAAATCTGCCAACACTAAAAGTGTGCTTTGTGATCATTTGGCGGATTCTAGATGGCTTGGTTAGGAAATTCCGTTTGGGCAGTCAGCTTACTCTATCAGTATAGGTGGATTCCGTAAGTTGGGTGGGTGTTTAAATGCATGGCTCCTGACAGGACCTCGAATACTCAGTTGGCTAGAGCGTTGGCGTGGGTTTGAATTTCACCAAAGCTGTCGGAATTTTGTCAATTGGGTTAAATAAACTTTTTTTAAATCCACCAACCACCGGCTAACATATATTAAAGCTCTTTTAATGATCACCTGTTCTTAAATTCCTAACGGTTGGTCGATTCGTTACAGTTGTTCAGTACTTAAAATAAAAAATCAATGAACCTGTGGGCATGATTTTAATCTCGAACTACAGGTTTTAATTATAGTTCAACTAAAATTTCCGGGAAGACGGAAAAATTTGAAATTCGAAAATTCGCTTGCAAAACATTCAAAACTGGCAGTCCCACAGACACCTAGGGGATTCCATGTCCAATTGAGAAATGTTCACGTCTTTTTTTTCAAAAGTCGGTGCGGATTCCAGTGGCATAGAGCTTAAACGTCTCAAGGAATTCTTTAGATGGTTCATTCGCCATGAATTTCAGTGCTCGATCAATGCTGCCATCGTGGGAGTTTGGTCGTTGCAGACGCATTAGACCGCAAACGAAGGGGTAGAGGTCAATCTGTTGGAATGTTTGAATGCCATCCATTTTCTTAATGCCGGGTCCAGCAGCAACCATGAATGGATGCATCTCGTGGAAGGAATTGTTGTATCCATGCATTCCATAGGGAACTAAAATCAAGCGTATGCAGGTGAATACATAATCCGTTTAAATGATCATGTCAGATAAGTTTAAAAAATACTTTTGAGGTCATAAGCTATCGTTAAGAATTCCGTGGTACCAAAAACCCATGCTTACATACTATGGAAATGGTGGTAAAAGGGGTAAGACGGCTGAAGTAAACTCAACTAGAAGTAAACTAAACTAACCTAACGGAGATGAACTAAACTAAATCAAACTAACTAAACTGCCAACTAAACGAAATTAAAATACAGCTAAGAAAATTAAACAATAAACGAAAAACTAACCAAACTAAAAAAAGAAACGAATATTTAGTTTTGTATACTAAACTACGGTTTAGCTTATAAGGAATCCCTACGGGACTGTCTACTTAACTTTCGCCTGTGCGCAATAAACACTCTAAACTACTGTCGTTTAAAGAAAAATAAATACATGCAGGCAATAGACAAAGTCTTCAAGTAACTCCAAATACTTTAGACAGCGCTACATTTCCGAATATATGGCCTATGAACCAGCCAAATTATTTAAAAATATTAACTAAAAGTGAGCAAATGTATAACCCCTTGCTGCCATCCATTATAACATTACTTTATATTATGCCAAACTAGTAAGTACCACGATGCCTTAATGACAAATAATTTTAATCGTAAACTGAGGTAACAGCTGTAAATTGAGCCGAGAACATTTAAACTGTGCGCAGTCGATATGGCAAATGGCAACCCGACCTCAGACTGCAATTTGGTTAAAGCCGAGATCCAGCGATTTTGGATACAATACAATAGGCAATAAATTGCATCGGCGTGATCTGACGTCCATTCTAGAACGTTGCCTGGTAGAACCATCTAAAACTCAATTCTGAGTTTTAGAGGTCTTTGTACTTTAAACCGTACGGTATGTCTCATACTAAGAGGGCTCATAGAAGACTATCACCGTATTAATCGGTAAAATGTAAGGTGGTCGCCCAACGTAGATAGCCATACACCCTTGGCTTGTGGTTACGTTTAGTTTTATTAGTTTGGTTTATTTTTAAGTTATTTTAGCTTTTGGGTAATTATTTACTTCATTAGTTTAATTTTAGTTAGACAGCACCAACTTTATAAACTAAGATATACTGAACTAACGAATTCAAGCTACACCTGATAAAATTAAATAAACTAAAAAATAAAACAAACTACACTAATATCATCGGTCCCATAAGAAAGAATTCTGGGGCTGGAAATATATAAGACGGGCGACCAACTTAAATTTCACCGATCAAAGAAACCTTTATAGCACTTAGTAACAACTCCTAAATGGTGGGGAGTGCTCATACTACTTGGTAGGCAATTCATTTCCAAACTGCATTGCAACTATAAAACAAATAATTTTAAATATATCAGTAGTTGTCTCCAGCGTTTTCTAAAACATTTACATCCAGGTTATGAAAATTTAACAGCTATGACTCATATTTGTCTACCAAAAAACTAGAATAAGCTGACTCGACCTTCTCGGGAGAAGTCATTGATGAAGTAAAATTGTAGACTTACAACTTTTGGTGAAATCATCTGCGTTGGCCTTGATCATCCATCCGGGATCTGCGATGATAAAGATTTCAGGCATTCGGTAACTTTTTGCATAGTGATACATCTCCGGGAGCTCGTGCTTCTTATAGACCGTTATGTGCTGTAGGTTTGCCTTAATCAGAGCATCGTAGAGAGAGTCCACCGTTTCACCTGAAGATAAGGAAGATAAATGTTAGTACCTAACTGGATGTCAATGCGTTTGCTAGATGACTTCTATAAATCGTTCTAAGTAGAGTGCTGGAAAAGTAATTCTTTACTAAGTGCATCAATGACTATACTACAAAACCTACCTTCCACCGGCCACATGCCGACAATGGGAGGCGAGACGTTGCCAACGTAACGATTCCTAGGTATATGCTCGTAAAGTTTGATTAGCTGTGTGTCCGGTGTGTAAGTCATTCCATGATCGGCTGTGACGATTAAATCCACATTATCTTTAAGTTTGGGGTGCTCTTTAATTTTTTTCAGCATGTAAGCAATCCCATCATTGACCAACTGAACTTTTTCAAGAACCTCGGTTGAGTTGGGTCCAAAGCGGTGTCCCGTACTATCCGGTTCATTAAAGTAAAAGGCACAAAATGAGAAATCATCCTGTGTTATCCAGTCCATCATGCGATCCACCCGGTACTCAAATGTCGGTGCTTCGGTGTAGAGACCATTGGTTGCAAAGGGATACTTGCCCTTATAGGCTTGATTACTGCCCGGCCAGTTGAATACGCAACTGCGATTTCCGTGTCTCTGATTGGTCAGCCAAATGGGTTCATTGTTGTTGTAGTTATTCCATTTGTCCTCCATTTGATTTTTGGCACTTTTATAGGAGAATGTCTCATTGAATATCGGGTCATAAAAGTCGTTATCGAAGAGTCCGTGGTTCTCCACATATCGGCCGGTCGCCATGGCAAGATGCGTGGGGAAGGTTATGGTGATGAAGATGTTCTGGACCTCGGCTCGAAAGCCGGCCGCGGCAATCTCCTCAAAAGCTTCCACCCTTTTGCCTGCCTTTTTGGCCATTTCTATGTAGTCATGTCGAAATCCATCCAGGGAGACGAGAATGAGCTTGGCATTGCAAAATGCGCAGAGTAGTAGCAGCGCTAACACCCTCATCTTATCGCCTTGCAGACTAGCCCTGCGTCGCTAGCTGTCTGTATGCTGTAAATGTGGGTAGAGTCTAGTGCATTTTTACTTATGGCAGTCGATTTCACCAATAGCATGTGTTTTTAACAAAGAATGCGTGTGAGATATACATGACCAGGGGTCACATGTTACACCACTCAAAGGATAGCGGTGCGGTTAAACTCTTAGATATGATTGTCACCTGTGTGCTCCGCACATCACCAAACGCCCATCTCCGCTCCAGGGCATTCAGAAGCTGAAATATTTCTTAACGAAAGTCAGCAAAAAGGACTTCAACTCCCTTTTATGCAATCCCCCGTGATGATCCGTCGGTAGACACAACTAATTTTCAACTGCTCCATAATAGAGAACCTGGGGTTAAATAAAAGTTTGCAATTCACGGTATAGTTATCTTTGGGAAAAATTCCTGCGCTTATTATTTAAAGGCTTTTCTGCCGCTTCGTTTCCATATTTATGGCGAGAACGCGTTGAACCACTTTTCTGGATTGCTATTTTGATACGCGGGTTTTCATCTACCTTGGTCTCGGACTATGCATTTAATAATCACGATAATAGTTGCATCCTATGGCGGTTAGGAGATACTAAGTAAGTAAATATGCAGTACGGATTGAGCTATCAGTATAAATAGTACTCCTAGACACTAAATGAAAATACTACTGCTTTTGAGTAATTAAGGTCATGCAGGAAAAACCTGCAACACCTCAAAATAAGCGCAGTTTGGAATGAAGAATAGTTGGCACAGGTGCAATGGGGGGGGGGAATTTCAGGCTCCAGACCGCGCGTTTCACGAGGAACCGACATACCGCTGCAATTAAGGCGGCGTGGATGAGGAGGTCCTGGCTGCAGAGTAAACACCGTGCCTCTCAACGTGGCACCTGGCACAAGGATCAGAAACTACGAACGGCATTACGCCAGAGGATGAATTCGGTAGGTTATTTTGTGCACGTAAGATTCCCCTAAATCTAGAATAGGGTCTTATGG